AAAAGTGTGATAAGAGTGGTAATCCAATGTTCAAGCGCCTAATTGACTTTTTATCAATTTTTTTCTGAATGTAAACTTTTTAGACAAAAAAGCTCGAATAGTCTCTACGAAATTTTTTAAAATTTTTTTTTGATGTTCTTTTGTGAATACCTTCTTTCCTCAATTTTGATTGAACTTTGACTATCAGTTTTGATTATAAAAAAAAACATATTTTTTGCATCTAGTTTTATCTAGTTTTTTCAAAGATGTTTGTCTCAGACGTTTTTAATGACGAGTTGAGGAAACAAAATCTTTCTTTTTTTTGAACTCTTTTTTGTTATTATGTTTAACACTAACTTTAGCAACCTTTGTTCATAATATTTTGCTTGAAAAATAAGTTTAAGCTTTTTTAGATGTGCTAATCGTAACTGGTAAGAAACACTGCGCATCGCATTCTGATCTCAAAAAAAAACATCATAGCTTAACCGATGTTAGTGAAGCTCAATATCAAGATCTTCAGGATTAAAGAACTTTGCTGAATCAAATATTTGCGTCATGATTAATTTAGTGTTTTGAGATAACAATTTCTGGTCAGTGTAGTTTTTCAGTTCTTTTCTTTTTTTCTCTTGCTAATGACCTAAGCCTGATTTTGTAAACCCAATTTTCTCTCAACGTGTTTTGCGCTTCACAAAAAACAAAAGTTCATTACAATGATTTTAACTATCAGTTATAATTCATCTAACTAGATTCGTGCTTATAAAACTTTCATTATATGAATACATTTTTGGTATGCGGGAGATAACTTTAGCTAAAAAACGATCTTTTTTTTTTTACAAAATTGCCTTGAATATGGTTCTGTTATCGCATCGGAATATTACCTTTTAAGGTCAACGTATACGCAAAAGTCTTGACATTTGATAAATTTTTTCTTCACTGATACAAGAATAAAAAAAACCTCGACAATTTTAATTCGCCTATTTTGATCAAACTTTTAATATCCGCAAGTTGGACACTTAATAACGCCTTTCAATCAAAATGAGAATAACTCTATTAAATTGCATCTACAGTTTGTGATAGTAAATTGAGTCAAACCTCTAAATTAAATCTTCACCAGCCAAAATAAATTTTTTTCCTCTAAGAAAAATCAGATACGTAAGTAAATAGTATAGATATTAAGAGAAAAATCTTTAAAAAACAGACTAGTTGCAGTTCAACGCAGAGCCACTTCGGTTTGTTTTGAATTAGAAATGATTATTGCTCTCGTATTATTAAATTTGCTTAAAAGCGGAAACGTTTGTGAAACTGCAACCAAAAATAGTATAAATTAAAAAATAAATTTTTACACTCATTAGATTTTTAATATTTTTTTATTCTCACAATGATTAAAGTCAATTGAAATAATCCAAGAAAAACAAACAAATTTTTGTACAAAGTATTGTTTGCAATTCTCGAAATTACATCCGTTGTCAAAAAACAATAAAAAAAAGATGATATTTGCAAAAAAATTAAATATGTTAGAAGACTGTTCCATAGATTGAACTGAAGTTTGATCGAACAAGATGAAGAGAACAAAAAATTGACATATAACTTTTGAAACTATGGTAATTTGTCAAATGGTATAATTTATTTAGGTACAAACTTGATTCATGCACTTTGATACAAAGAACGTAGCCTTGTTATCTGTGTTGTCTGTTTTTTGTTGTTATTTCTGCCTCATTTCAATGGTATTGAATAAATTATATGAAACCGACCGTAACTAATTTTTTTTTTCTGAAATTAGACCTTTTCAGCAAAAGTAATCAATAGTGATCTGAAATTTTTCCTTTTTGTTTTATTTTGCTTGAAAAGCAGCTTAAAAGTTAAAAGCAGGTGCTGCTTTTTGTTGTTTGTATGTAATTCGCTGGTTTGAACGTTTCGTTATCATTTAGAAAAAAATCTTAAATTGCTGTAAATGACTAAACTTGTGAAACAAATAGCGAACAACCTGTTTCAAATTTTTATTGCAGAAATTCTAGTCTTTGAAACGAGCACCTCAATTTTTCTACATCTTTTAGTTTGATCCAGGTAGAACAAAAAGTTTTCGACCCCGATCCAACACCCAATCCAATCCCAAAACAACACGACCCCAGTTCAACACAAATCCAACACAAAAAATCAAGTTGAAAGGTTAACCTGAACACTCACTAAAAACCAAAAAAAAATTTGCCAGACTTTATTTGTCAATTTTAAATTTGGTTTTGTATCATTTTTATAATTTTCAGTTTTTTTGCGCAAAAACGAAAAACACGAAAAACGAGTTCAAAATAGGATTTCCTTTTTTTAATTTTTTTACTCGGGCTTCTTGGATCGTTTTTTTTTCTAAGTGAAATTGTTTTTTCAATGATTACAATTTCATCCAAGTTCATGAAGTTTGTGATTCAAATTTGAAAAAAAGGTAAGCTAAATATTCGAAAACAATTTAACTCATCCTTAATTGAAGTACTGGTACTTTTTTATTTTGATGGGAATCTACTGGTGCTGATTAGTATACTTTGTCATAATTGCAAGTAAGAAAATATAGGATCTCAAACTAAAAAGTCAATGGAGATTTCAAATTTTAGGTTTTGGAGCGTTTGCATCAAGAGTGTAACAATTTTTACTGAGCTAAAATTTCTGTCAATTAAAGAGCAGTTTGCTTTTGAAAAGAATTGTGTAAAAATTGAAAAGAAGAGGTCTAGCTCATTTTTTGTGCCTATTCAGTTTCCATTGAAGTGAATTTCAGATTTTATTAGGGTGATAACTTTCGATTGTATCTCATGTTTCCCTGTAATACGGAAACTACATAAAATTTGTTTCCTTTTTTCAAGTTTTATCGGGAAGTCTCTCTAATTTATCGTAAAATGTGGTATAAGAGTGGTAATCCATTGTTCATGTGCCCGATTGGCTTTATATATTTTTCTGAAAGTAAACATTTTAGACAAAAAAGCTCGAATAGTCTCTACAAAACAGTTTTTTTTAATTTTATTGATGTTTTTTTGGTGAAAAACTTTTTTCCTCGATTTTGATTGAACTTTGACTAACGATTTTGAATACAAGTAAAACTTTTATTTTATGCATCTAGTTGCATCTAAATTTTCTCAAACATGTTTGTCTCAGACATTTTTAATGTCGAGTTCAGGAAACAAAATCATTTTTTTTCAAACTCAATTTTGTGATAATGTTCAACTTGAAAATCATTAATTAAGGCTATTAATTTTGTGATAATGTTCAAGTTGAAAATCGTTAATTAAGGGTATTAAATAATTGAGATAAAGTTAACATGTGTTGACCTTGATAAAACATACTACGTAAGATGAGGCAATTTTTAACTAAAACATAATGTATTTTTTTCAATTTCTGAAATATGATCAATAAATTAACAGTTAGAGAGATATTTGATGATGTAACCTGACTCTGATGAGCCATATTACATATGATGAGGCACAAAGTTTTGAAAAACTAACACAATTTTTTTTTTAATTTTTGATGCTGAGCATTTTTCATTTTCATAATTATGGTCAAAACATTTCCAGATAATGTGATATTAGATGATATAACCTGACCTTGACGAGTCTTTCCACATATGACGAGGAATAGCTTCAGTAGTGCATATTTTTTCAAACATAGTTTTACATGCTAAAAAACATTTGTATTCATAATTTTATACGCGTAAATTTCACTACTGAGTAACTTTCTTCTTTGTATCTATGGTCATGATATTCATGTTTTAAAAATACATCAATTTGCATAATTCATCAAAATTTTCTCTGCTTAAATTGTCTTTACCTCATATGACTTTTCAGCTGTCATTTTTATGTAACTGATAAATTAACTGGACCAGTATTTGTGTGTAATTTTTGCATAAGAATTGAAAGGATCCCTTTTTTGTCCTTTTATCGGAGTTTCAGCCGATGTTTTTTGACCTTGAAGAGTTAGACTACATATGGTGCTGCAAAATTCTAACCGCGTATGTAATTTCATGCGTTTTTTTTGTATGCTGGACAGTTTTTATGTTCTTGCCTTTGGTTAAAAAATTATTTTTTTAAACAGTTTCTCGGCTCAAACTCTTAAGTTATGTAGTTTAAATTACATGTGTATTGTTTATTCTTATTTCTTGGTACATATGGATTTATTACTTGTCTGAAATTGCCTTGGGTTGTTCATACGAAACCTTCACAAATGTAAGCTCTTGATCGGTACATGTGTATAAAAATTCTGAAGCAGTCTAGAACAATTAATGAGCATTTTGAAACGTTCTAGAACAACCAAGAACAATTTGCAAAAACTAAAACATTGAATGACCATTTTGAAACGTTCTAGATTAATTTAGAACAACTTCCCGCGGATTGTGATGTGCCCAAACACTTACTCTTAACAATTTCTTAATATCTGTCAATTTTTGGTAAAAGACTATAATGATAAATTATTTGTTCTAAAAGACTCAATAGTATACTTCTACTTTGTATCAATTTCATTAGCCGAAAAGTATAAACAATAACAATCAAATTCGGAGAAATTTAATTGTTTGAAAGTCAAAACATACCAAAACTCGGTTGAGCACGGCCAAAACGTATCTTGCTCAACACGAGCACGGTCGAGCTCATTAGTTTTGTCCGAGCTTTCAAATTGTTACACTGAAGATTGGATATTCATGTTTTAAAAATTTATCAAGTTTCATAATTCATCAAAATTGTCTCTGTCAAAACTTTCTTTACTTCATATGGTATTCGAGCTGTCATTTTTATATAACTGCATTACGAAGCCAAACTGTGTATTTTGTGCATTGTAAGCCGATTTCACAACAAGGACGCTCCCTTTGTTCTTCTTTTGTTCTTTACTTTCCTTTGATCGTTCCGACAAAATTTTTACATGTTTAAAGACTTGTCTCTGGAATCCAGGAACATGCAGACACAAAATTGTGCACCTATCCCGTGCACAGTTTGGCCTCGTAATGTGATAAAATAACTGGATCACTATTCAGCTGTAATTTTTACATAAGAATTTCTCAAACCAACTAAAATTTTAACAAACCAACTAAATTTCAGATGATATTCTGTTATTCTCCTTCTGTTATTGCGATCAAATTGCAAATATTGTTAGTTTTGTTAATTTATTTTCTTCTCAAAGTTTTTGGATTGTATTCGTTACCAATCTGATTGATGATGCCTTACTTAAAATATAATAAAAATAGCAAATTTCGAAACTCTGTTAAAAATTTAAAAAACTAAAATTTGAGTTTGAAATTTTAGTTAATTACGCATTGACCATGGCATACAAACACATGCAAATAAACTTGCATAAATACGCTTTTTGAGCGTTTTCGAATAGTTATTCAGAAAAACAAAAAACATTTCAGTTTTTAGATATTCAGGACTAAGTTTTGCACAGAAAAAATTTTGCGCGCGAAAAAATTGGAAAATACTTGTTAGATTAGAAAACATTTTAGTGCTTCAACTGAGATACCAAAAATTCTTTTAAAGCATTTTTGAAAATAATTTAAAAAAATTTTTGAGTAGCCATTTCTAGAAATGATATGATTAGCGCCAAATCAAAAAAATTTTTTTTTCTTGTATGATGAATCACAAACATTTATGGCAAAACAAGAAAAATGGCAAACAAAAAAATGTTAGCAAAAATGTATGAAATTTGAAAGAAAAGTATTTTTTATTAGACTCAGCTTATAGAAATTATGATTAGTTTTTTCGGTCAAAGGAGCTGAACTCGGCATATCAAATTTTCATGTAATAAATTTTCGCGAGGATAGTTAAAGAGCAGTCAGAATTTTCAGGGATTTTTTAGTATATTGACTTGTTGTGAATAATTTAGGTTTAGGTTTAGATCTACACTTATTTCGTTTGAATATAACTATCGAGCAGAGATATTAGAATTCTTACAAGATCTTAATGGTTCTTTTTCGTTCCAAATTTTGAAGAAGAAGCATAATAATTATGCTTAGAGTGGTTTTTATATTGATTTCTTTATTATTTTTAAGCCGTCTTTTTTGGCTAAAATTTTTTTATTATGTGAAAATTACTGTTGCCCGAAGCTCAATTTCAAAAGATTGATTTTTAATAATTAGTCAAAATGGGATAACCAACGCGTCTTGTTTGCGTAACAATAGCACGCGTTGTTACGGATTGTTGTCTTACAATTCATTTGGACGTGTTAATAGGCTACACGACCTTAAGACTTCAAGACTTCACATGCTGTTTTCGAATATCAGATAAAACAATGACTACTACAAAAAAAACATACCATTTTATATATGTCAGGGTAACACATTTGGAAATCAAGGATTATAGTTCAAAACAGTATGCAATAAATTCAGTCAGCTTGCGTTAGTTTAAGGCCGCACCGAGCGCCGATGTTTTTTATTTGATAATTTTAACAGATAGGTTGAAAATTTTTGCACATTGTGTCCTTTACACATAAAAATATTCCCTTAAAAACTCCCTTAAATATACACTTTAAAATATTCCATATCACTAAAGTATCTTGACAAAACTGATCGCAACTTTTTTCGTTCCTTCTGTATCAGCAGTATTTTTACTGTGAAAACTATTTACAGTGAAAGAAATTATACAGTTAAGCTTTCTAATAATGGAACGCTGTTGTTTCGATCACTTGAACATTTATATATATACGACCCAAAATTAATTTTTGACTTTTAAATATTGGATTAAACGCTTAAATCTTATCAAATTGAGTCCAGTAATTTTTTTTCTGACTTTCATTCAATTAAAAGTGCAATTCCTAATGTAGTTTTTTGGGCTTTATTACAGAAACGACCCATTTTTTGTGACCAAAAGAAAAGCTCGCAGATTATTTTTTCGACAATTTTTTATATACTCTGACAATTTTTTTGCTCTTTTTTCTTCAATTTAATTCCTGACATGCTAATATGAACTAAAGAAGGAAGATTTTAGCATTAACACATTAATCCCCTGCTTACGTGGGTTAAAAGAACGCAAAATATGTCGCATTATTTATTCCTAATCAGGCAAATTGGCAATTTTCAAACCTCATAACTGAACAATAAAAGATCACTGGTGAACTAGGATGGTAGAAAAACTTTCTGATAAAACTGCTTAATTAAGTAGTCTAAAATTGACTGAATAAAAAACCATCCCAAGCATAACTTTCATATTATCCAATCAACATAGGCTGCTCATATGTCACGACGAAGCCCTCAGGGATTCGACCCCCTTGCCGACCCTAAATTCAATACGAGGCCAAACTGTGTTTTTTGTGAATTGTAAGCAGATTCCACAACAAGGACGCTCCCTTTGTTCTTCTTTTGTTCTTTCAATTTCTCTGATCGTGCCGACAAAATTTTGTCATGTTTAAAGATTTTTCTGTGGAATCCAGGAACATACAGATACAAAATTGACTTGGCAGCGCAGAAAATTTTTTTTGGCTTGTTTTGGCAGCGCTGAAAATTTGGTCAAAAAATGATCTTTACAATATTAGGGAGAGCTCTGAAAATCAGTTTAGTTAACCTAAAAAAAAAGTCTCGACCAAATTTTCGAAAGTTTTTTTTAAATCCAACCCCCCTCGAGCACATCCTAGATCCGCCCTTGTTCAGAGTTGGAACCAAGCCTGAATTTGAGGCCCGGGCTCGGTTGGGAAACAAAAAATTTCAAGCCCGGGCCCATTTTTACTGAAAACACAAGAAATATAAAAACTTTAATAAGTTCATTGGTCGCAGCCGATCCTAGCAGTTCGATTTGGCTGGCTTTTGCTGCAGAAAAGAGGGCACGCTTTGCTGGCCGGGTTTGCCCAGCACTGTTCAAGTCACGCTCCCTCTGAGCGCTTTTAGCTTGAACAGTGAAAGAAGTGAACTCTTTTGAAAGCCAGGCCCGAGCCCGGCCCGGCTCCAACTCTGCCTCTGTTGAAATAAATTAATTTCAAGGTTTTTTGATACTTTAACTGATGTGTAAATTTTAGGAACGCGCATAATTGAAGGCAATGTGCAATTACATTATATTGGCTCTGTACTTATAGACTTTTTGCCGCACCTGAAAGCTTGAGCTTTTTCCTGTTCCTCCTTTGATTTTTCTGAAACATTTATGCGAAAACCTACTTAGAATAACCTTTGACTTTTTCAATTGGATTAAAACATGTCATCATGAACAAGTGAACATATTTTCACAATATGACCAATTTTGATACATAATCATATTGTATTGTTGCGAAAGTAAAATTGAGCGAAAATTGGCAGCGGATTGAAAAAGAAAAAATGTTTTTTTTTCTGTCGTGTATAACTTGCTGCGGTGGCCGATTTAGGAATTTAGCGACGGTTCGGATTTTTTGAAACCTTTTCGAAATAGGTCGCAAAAAAGTCTGTGACTTGTACTAGTTACAAATTTTGAAGAGATTTAGAGTGCAGGATCAATCCACCGGCAGACAAGCGCCAAATAGTGCAACCGAGTACTGGCATGATTTGGGAGAAGGGTGTTGCGGCATTTGGGGAGTCCCCTGAGGATCTGAAGGGCAAGCGGGTTCAACTTCCAACATATCCTCAATTTTTACCACTTGTTACTTATGGCAAGTAGTTTTTGCATCAAACGTTTAAGTAATCTCTATTTGTTTAACTTTATAATGCCAGCTAAACATACCAATAAGTTCCACCACCGAGAATTGCAGAGCAGTCTTCAATGGTAGCTTATAGCTGCTAAGATGGCTAGGGTTACTTTGGTTTTTGTTATCTTATAACGAGTTCGGTAATCTTTGTGTTAGGTTAAAAATTATATAAGACAAAATTTTATCAACAAGTTAAAGTTGTGTTGGCATTGCAAATAGAAATAGAAGGGGTTATTGTTTTTTTTTCTCTAAAACTCTTTAAACCAATTCAAACAAATCAATTTTTTCTGCTTCTTTGCCTTCCTTGACTCTTTCCCAACTCTGTCTGTTGACTTTGGTTTCTATAAATTATGTTTTTGTAGGTTTTTATGCGGAGTTTCGCTCACGAGTTATTTTCAACCGAACAGTGTGGAGAGATGCTGAGAAAGTGTTCAATGGTCTGAACAAACTGAACAATTGCTGGACACAGACTGGCTGCACTGTTGTGTATGTGCACATGAGAATGGGAGACTACAAGTACCATCTCAACGCTCTCCAGTGGGACTGCGACGTGTTCGAGAAAACAAACTATCTCCAGGATGCCTTCAAAAAAGTAGCCACCCTCTACAAGGTAAGGGTCTATATCTATTATCGATTATACAGTCAGCTGGTTAATGATATGTATTTTACAACATCTGAATTCTTTCAGCCTTTTGTCTTTGGAAACAGATATTCTAAGCATTTTTCTGTAATAGGCTGCATTAAATTAGAACTGACAGAAATAATTTAAAAGTCAATATGGCCACAAATTTTTAGATGGCCTCTTTCAGACTACAAGTTTGTCTGAAAAATTAGCTTCAGGTGTGTTATATAGCCCTAGGTCACGGAATCCGCATCACAACGAAACTTCAAATGATTTAGGGACAAAACACAACGAAACTTCCAATGATTTAGGGACAAAACACAACGAAACTTCAAAACACAACGAAACACCAATTTCACAAGTCAAAAACACCGAATTTGCATCTCTGTTTTAAAGTATATTTCTTAAATAATTGTAGGAACATCAACCATTTCAATAGGTAACTCATTTCTTAGTGATCAGAAAGTATATGCTTTTTGTGACCAAAACAAGACGCGTAACAAATCATAATTTACCAATCGAAAAATTGTTTTCAGAAGCCAATGTTCTACATCGTTGGCTACTCAGACAAAGACGTAGACAATTTCTTCCACACGCACAAAGAAGAATTCAGTCCATACCATTATAAGCTAGTTGCACCATACGAGCGAGAAATGCTGCCCCACAGAAGAACAAAATCATACCAAGGTTCGTCTCAATAACAATATGTCGTGTGCAGTGGATTGCGCAGAAACTTTTCTGGGGGGGGGGGGGGGGGGGAGTGGTTTTTTTCGAAAAGAAAATTTTGTTAACCTTTCGTTAAGTCGGTCACCGACCGATTTGATTTTCCGAGCTCTCCGAAAATACCATAAGGACCCTATTTGGTCCGAAATTTTCGGCGCCGCAGCCAAATTTAAAAGAAACATGCTAAAAATTACGTTTCAGCATTTTTAAAAAGTATTTGACCAAAAAATTGCTTTTATTTCGGCGCGCGCTACCCACTAAATTTTAGCTACATTAGCGCCGACGACGCCCTTAGAAAATTTTTGATTTTGACTAGCCAGTAATGTATCTCAAAAATATTATCAAAGGGGACCCTTTGGAAAAGTTTGGAAATCTGAATTTTCTTTCTTTTCCTACTGACTGTTGGCTGGTTTTAAATTAGCTTCAAATTCTTTGCCTGCGGTAAAAAATTTGATTGATCCAGTTTTTGTAAAGTAAAAGCGGCTGAAATACACAGCGGGTTTTTTTCCTTCCACCCTTCCCAAGCTCCCCTTTCAACCTTGCACGAGCATGAAATTTATGGTCTAACGAGTGGTTTTACAGGGTTATTTAAGGAGACTGAACATGTTTTTCATCGCTTAATTAGTCCGCATTCCAATGTTTATAGTTAATGCCAAATTGTTGGCAATATCTTTTTCGGTCAACGAATTTGAACGAAGTTAATTAAGCTAAAACTGCTCATATCGACGTCGGTTCTTAGCTTCTCACTGGTTTTCACACGTAAAAACCATTTCCAAAAAGCTAATTAATCTATAAGCTGTAGGTTTGGACAGATTAACATGTTCAAGGTCACCGATATTGCCAGCAATTTGGCATTAACTATAAAAAAAATCGGACAATGTGAACAAAAATTTGACCTGTAAATATTTGCAGGTGGGGGAGAGGAGGGGAAAGAGCCTCAAAGCGCTTTGTGGCTATCTTTGAAGCTGAAAACTTTTTAAAAATGTTATTCATTTTTTCGGTTTCCTTCAATTTAGTTAGATTTTTCGGAGAGTCAAGTTGCAATACTGAGACTAAAAATAAGGCTCGTTTTGACCTAATACGATCAAAAATTGGCTGGGTAGATTTTAACTATCAAAGAACGAAGGATGTTTTTAGCAAAGAGTCTTGAAATATGTTTGAGAGTCAAAACTTGCTATCTTGTTTTGGGTTTTTAAGGCAAATTAAGCTAATTTTCCTGTGGAGCAAATATTTGGATCAGTTTAATCAAAAAAGTGTCAATCATTTAATGATCTTGCAAGGCGATACAATTTTTCAACGTATATGATTACTAATTTTTTTATCAGTTCTTTTTCCCCGACTCTCTGTTGGCTAGGTATGTCTGATCTTATTAATCGAGCTGTGAAAAGCAAGCAAACGGTAAAAAGGAAGTTTTTAACCAGAAATATGCAAAACTGCTTTATCTGAACTCAGTTTTTATTAAAATTGAATTTATTCTGACCAAAAAGTGTTCGAAAAATCATTACTGTTTTTTTGCCCGGAAAATTTACAACAATAATACCAAATTGGACTGAGTGTCAACTTATATATCTTTTAGCGAGTTTATTTTCAAAGTTTGAAAGTATGCAAAGAGAGTTGTGCCTCATACGTTGTAAGGGAACTGGACCTTTAACAGATTTGTTTCAGATTTCGACCTTGAAGGTACGTTTAGCATCACCCTGAAAAAATTCATCCTGATGATACAAAATTCGATAACATCTAGAAAAATAAACAATTTGATTAAATATTCAAAAAATATTAGAAAGGATTTCCATTTTTTAAATGAAATTCCTCCCTTCCACGCACGAAATCAAAAAATGTTACATCTTTGCACCTTGAAACGCAGTATTACCACCAATTAGCTTGCTTTTCAATTTCATGTGCAAAAATTTAGCTGGAATAAATTGGAGAAACAGAGAATATAACGCGGGCGTTACTTATTCCAATTTCGGCAAATTAGAGACTACGATAGAAAACCCAAATTCGTAGAAAATAAATGCAATAATAGATTTTAAGTTTTGGAGTTGATACTTTAGATAGCATAAAAACTTTATAAGCAAAACTAATTAAATCAGTGAGTGAAAATTCATGAGGAAAATGGCGAGCCCAAATATTCTATAATTTCATCAAAAATCGGAAAATTATTGCAAAAGTATCGTAAAGATTCTATCTGCTAAAAAGCGAGTTTAAATTCAACATTAACGTTAATCCTTTTTGTTCCAAATTTTGATAAAAAGTCAGCATTTCAAAAGCTTTGATTGTTTTTTTAGACTAATTGCTTGAGGAGAAAATCAGTATGGGGATAGACTTTGCACTTTTCTTTGAAACGTTCATCTATGATGCTGGAAGCAAAACGGCAACTATTATTTTAAAAAAACGCTTCAAAACGAAATCCAGCGATCTGAATACATTTGTTTCGAGTTTCGAAGAAAAAATGCATTATTTGAGCTAGTTTTTTTCATCAGTAGAAATCTTCTTTAACAAAAACTTTCTGTCATCTAAAATATATTGACTCCCTGCCCTGAGCACAATAATAAAAGTTTGCTTCATCTGTGATTTTTGCTGTGAAAATATGGCGTTTCTAAAAGAAACATATTTGCCTCATTTGGACTTATTCACGCTTTTTCAATTTTTGTTAAATGAAGCAAGAACTGTGATTTCATCCGGCTCAGAAATTGTTTCATAAGGCAATATTATGAAAACAAAAATGAAAAAGTTTAGCTTTGTTTCTTTTTTTTATAAAAGTTAATCAATTTTGAAATTTCTAATTAATTGACTTGTTTCGTGGACCTGAAGAAACAGTCGGAACATTAAGGATTTGGTCCTGTTACGAGTAGCAATGTCGTTCCGACTGTCAAAGAAAAAAAGAGTACTTATAATTGGCGCGGTTTGTCACAATTTGCCGATTGAAGCTGAGAATTGCTTGAAAATTTTTTATACCCATTAAAATTATTGACTTCATGAGCCAATTTGGCCAACCGTTGGATTATTTTAGGGGCGTTTTAAGTTTTTTGATAATTCTGAAAGCGTACCGCGAATTATTTTTGCGTGCTGAGTTACCCCGCACTATAACTTCGCTCCAACTTCAATTAAGACAAGCGACTCGGTGGCCAAAATTTTGTGTTTCAAGTTTCACATCTGCCGCTTCAAATTTTCACAACTGCTTTTCGATCTTGTACTAATTGTATGGTTTTTAATATTTTTTATTAAAAAATATTCAAAAGTGTTTTCTTTCACAAAAAAAGTTAAAAGTTTTCAGAAAAATTTTCTTCAACAAGAAAAAAGACTCTTCGTATCTGGGCAAAGCCGTGAATGTTCCAACTGTCTTTTAGTGTCTCTGAAGCAGTGTTCGCTTTAAAAAATGATGAATATTTGGGAAAAAATAGAAAAAAATTACAAAATATTGAGTTTTTTTTAATCATCCCCGCACCCGCCGTATAAAGTACGAAGTGATAGATTTTTCTCCTATTAACGTAGAATTTATGATAAATAGCCTGTTTCAACCAATTTGGAAAGTTTTCTATGAGGGAATATATCTCCGTTTACGCGTTAGAAGCGCGATATATATCGCGCTTTAATTGTCCCAAATCGGCCAAAATGGCAATATTTAAACCCCCATAACTTTATAAAAAAAATGATCACCGGTAAAATATCTTTTCAAATTTGAGCTCAGGAGAGCAATGCCTTCCGGCTGATATAAAAAAAAATCCGTCAAAAATTCTCATTTAAAAAATCAAAATTTGTCTGAAAAAAAAACCACCCCGAGCACAAATATTCCATCACTTTCGCTACGAAAGTCGGAACAATAATAAAAAATATTCGAAACCGATGAAAGGGCAGTCGAAACTTTCGAGACTTGGATGTGATGCGCGAGCAGGCTTGTTTCTTTTAAGGCTCAAAATAAACAATTGAGACCAAATAACGAGTAATGGATATTTATAAAGGAGAGTTTACGAGGACCCTTCTTCACGAGCAGTTTTGTTAGTGTTCCGACTTTTGAAGAAAATCACAGAAAACTTATTTTGTAAGAAAATGTGCATTAATAAGAATCGCACTGAACGTATTTATTGTCACTAACTTCACGTAGACTTAATTGGTTCACTTTTCCATTTCAAAGTTTTGTTGGTGGCAGGGGCGGATTTAGGGGGGGGGGGGTCGAAGGAGGGGGGCGGACGCCTCCCCTCTCTCAGGGATTCGACCCCTGCCGACCCAAAGGGTCACCCCTTTGATACTTTTTCAGAAATCCATTTTTGACCGACCGACCCTAAAATTTTTCTAAAGGCGCCTTTGGCGCCAATATATACTAACTTTGAGGGGGAGCGCGCGCCAAAAAAAACGCAATTTTTTTGTCAAAATTTTTCAAAAAGTGCCCAAAAACGGCTTTTTTGACTGTTTTTTCAAAAATTTGCCAGCGGCGCAGAAAATTTTGCCAAAACAGGGGCAAAACAATGCTTTGGGAGAGCTCGAAAAATCAATTTGGTCCACCTAAAAAAAAAGGTCGTCAAAATTTTGGAAAATTTTTTGAAAATCCGCCCCCCCCCCTCGAGAAAATTCTAGATCCGCCCTGGTTGGTGGTGCTCAACTTTTGTTCTTATTTTAAGGTCTTTTTATTGCAATTTATTTTACCTGAACAACCAGTCCTGTTTAAAATCCATGCTTCCCTTATTGGTATCATGATCTTCCCCAAAACAAGAAGCGGCCTCGATCTAGTCTGAAAAATATTTGAAAGGTCCTGTGAATCGTGTGATTTTGAAAATGGAACCCATCCGATTTTCTACTTATTCCGCCCAAATTTGTATTCTTTGTAGTCCGTTGCAATTTTTTTGTTTCGATTTCACGCTTTTTACGTAGAATCCAATTTGTATTCTTTGTAGTCCGTCGTACTAGATTCTACGTAAAAAGCATGAAATCGAAACAAAAAATTGTCGGCTTCTTGAAATAAAATTATTGGCTCAAGTTTTTAAGCCATTTTTTAACTCAGTGTCCTAAACTAGCGTCCTAAACAACAAAATTCTATACATCGAATAAATGCAAAGATAAGTTTTTGTTTTGCTGCAGAAAAATTTATAAAAAGTACCTGGTATTATGTCAGAAAGTGGTACAAAATTCACAAATTGTTCTAAGTTCCAGACAAAAACTGTATAGTATTATTTCTTTGGCTGTCTCTGTACCTGTTTAATGACAAAAGCAAAAACTGTAACTCTTCGCTTGTTTGCCAATTGCAGTCAATCAAAATACAGACTAGCAGCTTAAGCTGAAGGATGTTGAAAATTTGATATTGAGCGGAAAAAGTAAAAAGAACTGAAAAAATTGCCCAATAAACATGTTATGGTATTTACTTGTTAGTAAAAGCATGGTAGGGGTCCCTAAAACTTTCCTAGTATTTCACCTCTCCGCTTTTTTCAATCAGTTTTTGCTTACAAAGAGAAGCCAGTAGTATTCTATACAATTTCTGTTATGCGATTTGAGGCCAAAACCTATTTTTCGCTTTGTTTATTAACTGTTTTTATACAAAAAGTTTGGTTTGTGTCCTTTTCTTGTTTACAAATTTGTTTATTTTCTAGGTATTGATTTGGCTTTACTTGCGATGAGTGAAGTTCTGATTTTATCGTACGGAAGCTACGGAGATTTCGGCGCTCTTTTGGGCAGAGACAAAAAGCATGTGTTGTATCCTGGGAAGCACAAAGCACACGATGAAACGGGTGTGAACTTGGGTCTTCCTCACTTTCTTCCTATACCATGGAACATCACAGAAACAGAACGAACAAAATGATATAAAATAGCTTTATACTCTTTCCCTAAAAATACGTTTGCTGCTGATATATCGTTTCTATATTCAATTTTACTCGTATTTACGAAAAACTAGAGGGATCAGTTCTAAAATTCAAATTCCTCTTGTTTTTTAATCGGCAAGCTTAACAATACCACGCTTGTATCTGAAGTTGTTCGTTGCGTCCAATGTTGTTCCCGCACCGAGGTTTAACGGGAGAAAAATCGATTGTAATATATTTTTGTTGACTTAAACCTTGTATATATTCGAATATCGTGGCAAATTTAGACCAGCACGTAATAGATTTTAACTTGTAACGTTCACCTAGTAACGTATCAATCACACCAATTAGCTGGCCTTAAGTCCAATTTAGGAGGTTATCTGAGCCTCCTACAAGCGACCCGTACTGATAAAAAAAGGTTTGCGATCGATTTATGCAGATAGTTCAGCAAAGACCTAAAAAAGTTGATTTGAATGGATTTATAATCGATGTTTTTTGAAAGATAATTTCAGCTCAAATTTAATGAATCCCTTTTGGCGAATTTTTATTGTTTTGATTTTCATGGGGTTTTATAAAATAATATCATAGATTTAAATTATTATAAGTCGGTTTATATCCTTTTTGTCTATTCATGTACACGTTTATCGAACAAAAGACCAATTATTAATCTATACTATCAAACAAAAGAGTAAAACTCGCAATAAGTCTGTAGCGTAGGCTTTCAGTTGCCTTCTGGCGTTTATGTTTGACCAAAAAACCATGAGTATTATGTAGAATTGTTTGCGCCATCAATTTTCTAGCAATTAAAGTCGATATTTTTCTGTCGTGATATCCGGGGTTGAGAAATTGGACGACAATCAAATAATTTGGAGGCACTAAAATTATCGGACGACAATGGACGACAATCAAATAAGTTGGAGGCACTAAAAAAGAAAGTTAGACGTTTTTGCAAAAGTGAGAAATTAGACGAAAGTGAGAGAGATTAAATTTATTTGCAGACAAATTGCGTGAGAAAAACAAAATTGTTTGCAGACATCCATTAAATTTCAGTGGCCAAAAATTCAAAGTTTCAAAATAGTTCCTTCCGAAGTTTATAGCTATTGTCATTTTATGTTCTTTTTGCATTTGTGAAACCTGACTCTTAAGAATTAATTTTGTTGGCTCTTTCCTTTTCATAGCAGTGACGTCTAAAATGCCAGTTCTGTAAAAAAAATTCCATTTAATTTCGTTTTTTTAGCATCCGTCTTATTTGCCCATCGTCTAATTTCCTAGAACCCGTGAAATCCGTTTGAATCCTTCGTTGATCAATTTACCTGAAAGATTGGGCTACCAGAACTTGATTTTTTCCCCATCATCAAAAAGCATACGAAACATCTTTTTATATGTCGATATGCTCAATGTGCTATCAAAAAATTACAATTTTACCCCAAAAAAAAGTCCAAGAAGAACAAAGACAAGCAATAAAAATTGTTTGATGTCATAGAAGCTTGAAACAAAAAACACTCGCGAGCAGAAATTGAATGTGCAAAACAGCTTTTGATTTTTTTATTGCTTAAACAAATTGATTTTTGAGCACTTTTGTAACTCTAAGTCAACCATAATTTGTCAAATTCTTTCAAAAAACAGGACAAAATTGACATTTAGAGAAACTTTTGAAAGATATCCATTAAAAAATTAAGCTTGGTCAGCTGATAGAAGTTTTTTTTCTGAAAAAGAAACTAAAAACCATAAAAGTCAAACAGAGGTTAAGTTACTTCGTCCTGAGTTCTTTAAAATTAGAAAAAAATGAAATTGTGCTTTTAAGGTTAATTGTTTTTCACAAAAAATTACGCGTAAAACTTTTTTGATAAACGACACCCCATTTTGAATACACTAAAATAATGGGCAAACTTTTAAAATTTGGCTGATAGATCTTAAAACACAGAGGCACAGCGGAGTTTTTACACAGCTAGCATTGCAAG